GCCAAATAACTCGCACACCCGTGCTGAATATACTGTCGAGCTCTTGCTACAGAACAAAACCTTGAACCCATCCTGGTGCCCTCTCCATAAATAACCAGTTCTCTCCCACTTGGGGTTCGAACTACCACGTGATGGCCCTCACAATCGATCATATCACGGAAACGGCTCAGCCAATCCATACCCACAATCACACAGACATCCCTCATGGGGATATGGATCAAATCGATCAGAAAGGATACCTCAAAGATCTCTAGAACGCAACCCTAATATACCAAAGAAGCAGAAACCCCGTGTTCGTTGGTGATAGAAACTCGCAACGGACACTCCAACTCCCCTAAGGTCATATCAAACTCCCTACTAAAAGACCGAGAAACAAAGGACCGACTCGCACCCGAGTCAAATAACACTAAAGCAAGCAAGAAGTTCACCAGGAACGTACATACCAAAGGTACAAATACAAATAAGCATAATACAAACATAATCAATGAGATAAAGGATAGAAACATACCGGTCACAACATCTGGTGCTACTCTGGCCTCCTCGACGGTAAGCTGGAAAGCGCGCCCTCGAGCCCTCGGGGGCTCCACCCCGCCCTGACTCCTATCTGTGATCCTCAAAGTAGCCAGCGTTAGAGGCTGCGCCGTCCTGCTAGCAAGCAAAGGACATTGGGCCTTCATATGGCCTACCTGATCACAATGATAACAAAGTCTGACGCTAGAAACTGGAGTCTGCTGCCGACAATCCCTCGCAATATGGCCCTGCTTGCCACATTTGTGGCAACCCGAAGAAGACCGAAAAGCTCCCTCATTTACCTTACCACACTTCCCACAAGTGCGGCCCCTCTGACTCCCCGACCTGGAGTCAGCGGCCCTAAATCGCTTCGATGCAGGCTGCCATTGCGTCGGGGCCGGTCTGGACTCCCTTGTCTGCAAATCAATCTCAATCTCACGCCGCCTGGCGGCCTCTTGCATCTCTAATAATGAACCATAGCACTGAGTAGAAACAAACTGCCTGATCTCCGTCTTGAGTATGCTCAAATAACGGGTCATTTGAGTCTGTTCAGATGTAGCAAACTCATGGCAGAACATAGCCCTCTCCGTAAACATCTTGGTGATCTCCGTCACCGTCTCAGAACCCTGCCTCATGTCTAGATACCCCTGAGCCAACCTCTCTCTCTCTCTCTCTCTCTCTCTCTCTCTCCCTCCACCAACGACACATATCGGGAGCGGAACATCTCAGAAAACTGCTCCCAAGTCACAGCAACTCTCTACTCAGTAGTATAGGAACTGGCAGCGAGCCCTACCAATCCTTGGCTCCGGTCCTCAGAAGGTTCAGAGCACACCTAACCTTCTGGTCATCATGACACAAACAAGTGAAGAAACATCCCTCCACATCAGATAGCCACCTCATGGCGATGATTGAATCCAGCACTCCATCGAAGGTCAGGGGCTTCGTATTATCGAAGTCCTGATACTGAAAAGCCCGACCCGATCCAACCCCTACAGCCACAACGGCTGCAGTAGCTGCATCAGCAACGGCCTCAGATAATGCAACATAACGCTCATCAAAGCACTCAACCATGACGGTCTTGATAGACCCAAACATCTTTGGCAACTATGTTCGAAACCGAGCAACAACCTCCTCCTGTAGGATCTCCCTGATCCTTTCATCCAACGCATCTGACTCACCCTGACAGACAACTCCTGATCCCGACCCGGATCCTACCTCAAATTGATGCGTAGTCACCATACTGAAAATAAACCAGGAGGATATCAGAAAATATGCATATCATACCAGGGGAACCAACTCCCAACAAAGCCCTAGGGGTTGTGACTTCCCTGTTACGCGTACGGGTCCTGTGCTTTTAGTAGTACGGGCCCATACTACCTTCCACACCTACCCGTATTTGTCTCATAGGATCATCACAACACCCTAACAATACCCACAAGCATAACCATACACTTAATTCTCACTTCCTAGATGAGAGGCTAAATATCTCAAAACTGGCCGGCTGACCCCACACGACTTATCCATGAAACTTCCACCAACCATGCAGCACTCGTGTATGCTAGCCATACATAACGTTGGACCCTATAGACATTCACATATTTGATCCTATCCTAAGCCCTTCATCAAACAAGAACAGGAAATAAGGCCAAACCAAACATTCTCAGACTATAAGATCTTAGTTATGTACGACCATGATGCATACACTAAGCAACTACAGTAATGATGCCAATTCCATAAAAGAAAGGTCCTAGGTTATCAGACATTATACAATCAGGCAATTCTATCATGCAATTCCTGAAAGATCCCTAGCCTATCACTAGCATGATGTTCTAACATATCACACTATCAATAACAATACGCTATTTTATGGTCTACTTACTGGCTCCGGCTGATCGTACACACTGCATCCTCCTTGAATATTTTGAAAACCATTTGAAAATCATTTGAAAATCTTTTTCCTTAGTTTGAGATTGGATTCACACGAGTGTTACTCCAATTCACTCACACCAAGGCTCTTATACAAACTTGTAACATTCATAAAATTCTGAAAAATTTTAAACTTTTAAATATACCCAAAACCATCATTGTGTACAAATTGTTTTCAAAATAAGTTCAACATCATAGAAATCCCAAAATCGTGAAACAAAACATGAGGAGGTGCACGATCACGCCTTCGCCTTCCCGTGATCCTACCTGAAACATAATCCAAAATTGTAAGCCCAAAGCTTAGCGAGTTCCCCCAAAATACCAATACATAACAAATAACACAAATACAAAACAACATACTATGGTTCCAATCAACCATCAGGTTGGAATACCCCAGGCCCCTAAACCATCGGGTTGGAATGCCAACATACTTTGGATCCAATCAACCATCGGGTTGGAATACCACAGGCCCCTCAACCATTGGGTTGGAATGTCAATATACTATGACTCCAATAATCCTCGAGATGGAATACCCTAGGCCTTCAACCATCGGGTTGGAATGCCCCGACCTGTTGGCTTACGCACAAAGCAGTGAAGCCTCAACCACCAACCAATCATGTGCACATAATACAGATAAACATACTATTAACCAACCAACAAACAAACAGACAGATCTTACAAATCTCTAAGCATAACAATATCCTAACTACCAGGATACCGATCTAATTAGATCACTACAACATTATAGCATACATAACAGGATATGAAATCCGAAGGGCCGGCCTTGGTGCCTTCGACTCGCAAGTACAGTGAGGAAAACTCACTTCACAATGTCGAACCACACTGAAAACCTTCGGTCGCTGGCTCATGAAAATCCCAAACTATCACAACAAAACAAACATCCAATTAACAATTGGATTGTCATCCTTGAATAAGGATCCAAACTTAGGGTAAATGTCCACTTTACCCTTTCCCTAATTAGGCCAATGCCCAAGTTCTAATTTTGATCCAAAAGGCCCAAATTACTTAAAGACCCATAAGTGGCCCAATTTTCCAAATTGGGCTCAATTCCTTATTAGGCCTTATCCGAAGGTTCAACTCTCCAACTGGCCCCAAAACACTCATATTTAGAAAGTCCAATGGGGGCCCAAGCCATTCAAGCCCAAAAGGTGGCCCAAAACTCGAAGCCCAAAAATCAAAAGCCCACAAACGACGTACGTTGGGCGTACAGCGGAGGTACGCAGGGCGTACACGAGCCTCACATTGACCACCATCAGGGTGGTTGACCGAGTACACGGGGTGTAATCCTCCCTATGCAGGGCATACCCTTGCAGATCCAAAAGTCCATTAAGTGCTTAATGGCTTAAGCACTTAAGCCCATAATACAGATCCATGGTCCAAATGCACCCTAGAGTCATAAAGTCTCCAACTTTATGACTTTACACGTCCATAAGTTCCTTATACAAGGTCTTAACCCATTAAGAACGTTTTTCCAAATGCATGAAACACTTCTGGTCATTGGGACCTCATTTTTATGACTAAGGACCCTTCCTAGGGTCTAGAAGGACAGCTCAAAACGTCCAAAATTGAACATGCACAAAAATGGGACTTTTAGGGACAAAAGAGCATCATAAAGCTACCATAATGAGATCTAAGCAAACAAAACATAAATGTAGCAACTTTATACCTTATGGAGCTTCCAAATGAGATGATGATTCAAGATCTACAAGCTTGCTTTCCTTCCTTGACTCCTTGATGCACTTCCTTCTCCTTTAAGCACACGAATAACACACTTTAAGCTCAAAACTCTCACTTATGGGGTTAAGGTTTGATAAAAATGACTCAAGGACTTAGAGGCTGAAAGAGTGAAGCAAAATGATCCATAAAGGTGCTTAAATACTCTTCAAACCCTAAAAATTAGGGTATCACCCGGACATTAGTACGCCCAACGTACATATGTGTACGCCCAACGTACTCACATGTACGCCCAACGTACTACTCATGCTCCAAAAAATTACCATTTTGCCACTAGAGCTTCTTAAAGCTACATCTTTATACTCCAAGGACCCAAAATGACATATTTATATACCAATGAAGAATTTGAAAATACCTGAAACCCGGGATGTTACAACCTGGCTTGATTGCACGACATCCCATGATGGCTTTCCATAATGATTATTAATGTTTTACTATGATTTTTGAGAGATACATTTTACTATGATTGGTTTTGGAACAAATGCTTGTATGGATTTAATGATTTAAAAATGAAAAAATTTATTGGTGTTTTTGGGAAGTTACATATTCATGAATAAGTTCAATTTTGATTGGAAATTTTGTTTAGTTTCAATTTGTTTGAAAATATCAACAATTTCATCAAGATTTCCTCCAATTATTTTTTCAAACTGATGAGGAATTTGATTACTGACAATTTAAAGGTTTTGAAATGAGAATGACCGTAGTTTTTTTTGTAATACTCTTATGTTTTTTAGCAAGTTCAGTGTTAAGTTTTTTTCACTGTTGAGTTCATGATTGATAATAGAAACATTATGAAATTGTAAGCTCATTTATGAAAGAGACTTCTCACTGTTGGATAATTCACTTTTTAAAGATTCAATTTCATTTATTAGATTATGAATTTCTTGATTGGATTTTGAAAGATCAAGATGGGAATACTCAAACATTGTAGATTTTCCAATTTCAGAATAAGTTACCAATTTTTTGACCTGATACAAGGAGGAGGAATCCCAATTTTGAACTTTTGAGTCACTAGCAGCTTTAGCGAGATCAACGTCAAAAGTACTTGAACTACTGCTTGCTTCATCAGTGACTAAATCACCAGTAACTCCCATTAAACACACGCTCTTTTTAACTTCTTCATCCGATAATTCTTCTTCATCAACCCACTCTTCACCTTCAACGACAAGAACTTTGGACTCCAAATTTTTCCTTTTCAAAGAAGCCACTAAGCGCTTGTACTTAGTTTCATAAGATTCTTCCTTTTGATTGTTCTTCTTAACTTTGCAATCCCGAGCAAAGTGATCAGCGCCTCCACAGTCAAAGCATTTACCTTCATCCTTTTTGGAGTTACCAACGTCAGATCGATTAGATATTGATGAGCTAGACTTTGCATGGAATTTTCTTGTTCCTCCAAAATTTTTGTTATCAAACTTCTCAAAGCGCATCACAATCATAGCAACACTTGTGTAAAGCTTAACATTGTACTCTTCCTCAAAACCAGCATTATCATATTTATCACTGTTAATATCAGGGATGAAGCTTGACTTTCTAGTGAACAGTGTAGATGAATTTTCCTTGAAGCTCTCCTTCATTATCTCTTTCCTAAGAATCTTTGTTTCTTAAAAAATTTTCAGATTTCGATACAGGTTGTGAAGATCCATATAATGAATTTTCTCACTGTTCTTAAGAACATCCACATGGTGTTCCCATTTGTCATCAAGAGAATTTAAAAACTTTAGAACTAAGACAGATTCATATTTAAAAATATCAAACCTTCTCATATTAATTAAATAATTTAAGCGATTAAAGGTTTGAGTAAGATATTCATTCCTTTGAGAAAATAAGTGTTCGTACTTCAGGTTGAGACTATTTTTCCTAGTTGCTTTCACTTATTTAGTTCCTTCATATGCTACAGTCAGCGTGTCAATCATCTCTTTGGCAGAGATGCAGTTCTGAACAAGGTGGCAGATATCATAGTGAAGAGACTTGCCTATTGCAGCACGAGTACGGACATCAAGATTGTATAACCGCTTGTCTTCTTTACTAAAAAGATGTTTATGGGTCTTATTAATAACAACAATTTTAACACCGTCTTTTATTTCCTCAAATGTGAGAATATGTGGACCATTATCGTTGATGTCCATAATTTTGTGATCCATGGTTTCAAGAACAACCATGGATTTAGTTTTCCACATAGCGAAGTTTTCTCATCTATAGGAGGGATTTTGTTTCCATAAGTGGTACCAGAAAGGAGTTTAGATTAAGAAGAAGAAGAAGATGGTTTTGAAATTGCTTAAAAAAGTACATGCTTTGATATCAATTAAAGGATCGTAATAGAACAATTAATATCAAGCAATGCAAAGAATAAAGAACAAAGTTTAATCAAAACAATTTTGATTAAATAAATCTCTCACACAGAGAGAATGCACCAAGCGCTAATTACATTGATAACTTATATACTAGGTATGAGACTATTCTAGATTCAAATCCCTACATTTCAGGAATTTGAATAACTATGACAACTACCTTATATAAAAGATATACATAACACAAAATATATCTTATCGCTAAGATAATGGACCAGTAAGCTTAACGACCAAGAAACAAATCACGCTGTCTTAAAGCTTGATCAGCGCAATATGTCGTTGATAATAGCGTCATATAAATTTAACTCATCAGATTATAAGGTTTGGCCTTACAGCTTATGTTTTTTTTTCCAGTGTAAAACTTCATTGCAAACTAAATAAACTTCAATGCAAGAAAAGTCTCATGTTCTACATCTACGCTTCCCTCATCTGAATCATTATGTTGTTCTTTTTGACGTGTGTTTGGCTTTTCATTAACAACCAACTTACTGAAAAATATGTATTCCTTTGTCTTGTTCCCAATAATAATCTCCTCATCAAGTTAGATGTCCACAAACAATTATTGTTTGACAACATATCCTAATTTCCTTGACCCTCAATACTTTATTGTTGTTTATATAGACTCAGAACTTCAACCTTGTCCTTTTCAACGACTCATTTATTTCCTTACCAAAATGGTCAATGTACATATAAATTTTAACCCCATAACTATACCCAATTTCCAAAAATATTAAATAATCAACTTTTTTTTTATAATGGATATCACCTTTTATATTTTTGTTAGGCATATAATACTACAGTTTTTACATATTTCATGTGTAAACCAAGGAAAGTTATACATTCATTTAAATTTATACCAACAAAGTCTACAACTCTACATTAGTCAACACTATGTGTATGCCAAAAATATTCGAAAGAGTAGTGATTAGTGAAGAAAAACTTCTTCAAAGTTAAGATCAACTTTGATGTTTACATGATTCAAAATCCCCTTAAGAACGATTAGAAGAAAGAACATCAACAAATCATTTTCAAGTTAAGAACCATGAGAAACGATAACATCAAAATATGATTTGAAAAACTTACAAGGACCAAACACTAAGAAAACCTCGAATACTTCTTTTTGTGATTTATATTTCTCTTCATAGTGAGCGATTAAGGGATTTTGTGTATGAAAATAGTTAGGGGTGGCAAACATGTTGTGTCGTGTCATGTTAGTGTCGGGTCGAAACTTAAACGGTTGAGATATCTTGACTATAACCTCACATGTTTAATCATTGTGTGGTGTCGTGTCAACCTATTTATTTCTGTGTCGAGTTTGTGTCGGGTTGACGGGTTTATGGTTTAAACATTATAAATATGTCGTATTATGTTAGATTGAAACACCAGATAGTTTGAAAGACTAAAAGTTGGAGAGACTAAAAATAAAAATTGAAAATCAAGGAGTAGTAGTTTAAGAGCGCATACATGCAAAATTCACAATAAGTTCATAAAAGGGAAGTGAAGCTGAAGGGGAAGTGGGCAAGTGAGATTTTGGAATATGAGATATTAATGAAAAAGTGAAAAAAAGTATTGATTGTGCAACTATTTAGTGACTACCACATTAAAAAAAACGAGTTAACTCATAGTTTTCTATTATATTTGGTTTTAGTTCTAGGCATGGCCAACTTACCCAAAAGTTAAAAAGAAGTTGCATATAAATAAAAGGGTCATTTGTCTATTGAAAGTTTGAACCCTATCCTTACCCATTTATTTTTCGTTTCGTGTTGTGTTAACCTGTTTAATAAAACGATTTGAAATCTTTGACACAAACTCGCTTATTTTCGTATTGGGTCCATGTAGTGAATCGTGTCGTGTCGATAATTACCACTTCTAACTAGTGGTGTAGGGCATACAAGGACCAAACATACTCGAAGGAGTGATGTGGCCACCTCGATGCTTAGGGGTACTCGGGCACACCTCCCCCGGGTGCGACTGGGATGCACTGTCCATTTCTCTCTCTCTGTGTGTATGTGTGTTTTAAAAACCGGTTTGAACCGACCGGTCAAACCAGGTGCATCGGGAACCATAGAAGGGAACAAATCAACTAGCACCGATTTTGTGTCTATTTTCTGTACCGAAATGAACCGACCGATTTTTATAAAAACCCGGTTGAACCGGTTAAATTAAATAAAAACACATGAAAATTGATCATTTTACATAACAAACTTTGTTTTGTTTTTTGTTTTTTTCACATCTATTTAAATTTCTTTGAATCAAAACACATGGTAAATGTTAGAATTTTTTTTAATACATTTGTATTTATCTAAAACTATATTTTGTTTCCGTATTATACTTTATTTTCTTTTTGATGTACATGAATTGATATAAAACTTATGATTATGTGTTTTTAATTCATTTTGATTGATCTACCATTTGTATTTATATGTATTTTTAATGTTTAAACATGTGTTACATTTAGTGAAATTAATAATATTTTAATCTACTTGTCACCATTTAATATGGGTAGGACATTTTTTTTGAACGGCAGGGTTAGTGGTTAGCAGTTAGTATCACGAAATTGTTCACGTCAGTGTTACATCAGGGTTAGAATTCGAGACCTCCAATCTAAGAGGCAAAATCTCTACTAAGTGGGCTAATCCCACATTGGTAATATGGGTAGGACATTAATAATATTTTAATCAATTTATCACCATTTAGTATGGATAAAAGCATGAGTATGAAGAAAATGTTAAAGGATATTTAATTTTTTTTTAAACAATTGAAACACCTAGATTATACAAAAGTAATTAAGTAAATGACGAACTTTTAACAAAAAAAAATCCAATAGTTCATTGGGTCATGCATTAGCCCTTTAATTTATGTTTTTTTGTGCTTACCTAAAATATCAACTTATCAATGGGGCGATCCGCACAAATCTTCCCATTAGAAGCCATGTAGTCACTGCAACCCGTAACAATGCTCTCAACAGCGCTGCGGTCAGCTTCTTTATCATCCCTCCCAATTCACTCTTTCAAACCCAAACTCCCTTCATTCGCCTCTTTCTCTTCTCTCCAATCTCCTCAACAACACCATCACCCACTATGGCCCGGCCTTCAGAGCTGGAGAGACAGCTCGCTCAACCACAATCGCTTCTGGGGACCTTCTGGTCCCGAACCGGAAACCCCAATTGGACCCAATTACCAAAACTCACAGTTAGATTCCGCCACTTCTCTAGCTGAAATGGGCGCCATGATTTTATCCACCAGTGACCCCATAACGAAATCGAGGCTTTCTCATCTTGCTTACTCTAGGTGGCGCAGAGATAAGCTCCCTATTGGGGCTTCTCAACCACCTGATAGACCTGCTCGTCCTTCAAAACCCCAATTGGTTCGTTGTTCGTTTTGTTTTGTACTGCTTGTTTATAAAACTTGACGTTTTCACCGTTTCACGATTCTTCTCAAAGGTTTTACAGTTCGAAATTAAAATTTGAAGTTGAAGTTAGCATATTTGATAACTTTTTCACTTGTTAGCTTTCTAGTTTAGAGTATTCACCCCCAATTCCTTATCGTATGGATGAACCGATACATGGTTTTGGGATTTTCTTTGTTGGCTCCAATATGTTTGAATTGATAATTGTGATTTCAAGGGCATGATAATCCATTTTGAGTGTTTGATAAAATGATTTTATTTTATTTTTAATTCAGGTGTCTCCAAAGGAAATCCCAGCTCCAAAGAACTCAGGATTGCCTCTCAACGCCTATATGCTACACAACCTTGCTCATGTTGAGCTTAATGCAATTGATTTGGCATGGGATACTGTTGTTAGGTTTTCACCATATAGTGATCTTCTTGGAGATAAGTTTTTTTCCGATTTTGCCCATGTGGCCGATGATGAGAGTCGCCATTTTGCTTGGTGTTCTCAGAGACTGGCTGAGCTTGGATTCAGGTGAACTATCTTAATATAAATCTTTATCTTTTTTGATAATCTTACTTCAAGTTTTTTGTCATGCAAATGCAAACTACCCTTTTTGGTCATTTTAGCTATGGAGACATGCCTGCCCATAATCTACTATGGTGTGAGTCTGAGAAATCTTCAGATGATGTTGTTGCTCGTTTGGCTGTCATCCCACTAGTCCAGGTGATTTCATAAATCGCTCTCATTCATGCAAAAAGACGTAAATACCCTTCTCATCATCCTCATTTAAAATAGCCCTAGAATGCTTGTCCCACGAAAAGGTGTAATACTA